TTTAAATATTTACTCTGCGGCAAGACCATACGCAATCCAAAATAATGAGCTTCAATTAAACAAAACCATTTGCTTGTACGCACATACTCCTACTCGTCAAGAACTGAAAATTTTCAACGATCAAGCTTCTTCACATATGTATCCATGTACATAGAATATGAAATCCTCATAGGAACCTTTTGTTTCATTTGCCATGCAGGAACGAGTATAGAAGGAAGAAAACCAAACTCAAATGGCCTTATCTACCTACACACGTATATATGTACATAAATACATACTCGTATGACTGTTCGAACGATACACTAATAAGAACGAATGGAATACCGAAACACTCGCTAAAATTCATATTACACTACGGCCCAAGTGTAAAACCAAACTATAGCAGCAGTATGCACACATACGCATATACATTGTTTCCAAAGCTGCGCCGCTGAGGCGTACCAAACTAAATACGTACATACCAAGGCACATTAAGCAGGTAGTATCAGCAGAGCAAAAACAACATTTGCGTGTATTTTGTTGTTGCTTCTGGTATCGAAAGTGTCAACAACTGTTCTGAATTTTTTCTTCTAAATCAAAGCGTGCTATGTGAAATGCAAAAAATTATAAAAAATAAAAAATTTAAATTGGAAAAAATAAAAATTGATGCAACTTTCTTTCCTAGTAAATTTGTTTGCTTCTCGAAGCATTGATCCATCCATTGCAAGGCCCAGTAATCAGCGGTCGTGCTGCCGAGTTGGGCGAACGTTCCAAAAGCTGCTATTCAATCGCTTGTTTTGTATGGAAAAAGGTTTCACAAGCAAATGGATTTTAACAACTTATAATTTTCGTGAGAAAAAATTAAAAATATTTGACATTTTAGAGACCAAATAATTTGAAAATAAATCAAATCAGCTGCTCTACTGATACTACCCGTTCAATGTACCCCGGTACATACATATGCGCACACGGTCAAAAATTTGGGTTTAATTTTTAAACCGCGCTGGGACTACTGCCATTTTTAAACTTTTATAGTCTACTTTTTAAACCAGTCAATAGTTTTACGCAATTTTTAATATATTCTGGTTTAAATTTTAGCCCAAAAAGTTCGTGGTTTAAAAATCAAACCAAAATGTTTTAATTCTAGTTTCTAGGTTTCAAATATAGAAACTTTGGTTTAAAATCTAAACCGAAATAGAATATGTTTGCACAGCGAATTGTGGTGTTGATTCAAACTCAACATATGAAAGCACATTTATGTACATGCGTGGCTGTAGCTGAGTGTGCAAAGATGCTTGATACAATCGGTTGGTACCAAGGCTGTCCGGGTTCAATCCCAACCAGACGGAGCATGAAATTTAAGGTTGTTTTTTTTTTTTATTCTTAATTATGAAAATGTTTGGGTTTAAAATTTAAACCGAATTGTTTAAATTCTAAACCCAACATATGTGCTCTCTTTTTTTTAAACTTGGAAGGTTTGTATTTGAAACTGAATTTAGTTTGGTCATATATGTAGTCCAAAAAGTTTAAAATTAAAACCGAAATTTTTAACCGTGCATACGCAAGGCATTGTTCACTAACGAGCCTTTGACTGTGAAAAGAGAACATCGAATATTCTATGTTATTTGTATGCAATGCACCGGAATCAGAACCCGCAGCAAATGAGCAAGCATTCTGTTCCCAACAACACAACTATACAATTATACCGAATTCCCATGTACATACATACATTTTGCATGCAAACAGAGCTTCGACACCTGCACGAAATTTCCTTTTATTTCGCTTTTTGGCGGATGTTTTCCTACAAATTGACTGCAAATCCTTATCCCCTTCGGCTCGATGGACCAAAATATGTTCCGCTTTCGGAAATAAAAGACGCTTGCTTATTATTAGGGGAACTTTTATTCACGATTCACAACAACCTTCTGTCCACAACCGCTTCGTTCAACTCTTCAATCGCTACTACTCCATCTCGCTCGAATAAAGCATTTATTTATTTTATTCAAAAAAAGTATATTAGACATTTAAAAAAAGGTTTGATTATTCTAAATTTTCATCAGAACTTAACTTCAATAGTTCAGCTATTAAATTTTTGCAATTCGAAATTTCGTTTCCATTAAATTTATTAAAAGTTAATTTCAGTTTCTTTATGTCAACAAGGAATTCCAGTTTAGGTTTTGTTAGACCACCATTTGAAATTTGGTCTATCCATGTACATATATGAGTGGAAGATTTTCTCTTCATATTCGGTATAATAATTCCTGCATCTGGGAACAAACGCGTCCGCTTAGAAATACCCGGCTGCGATAGGCAACAAATAAAGTCACTGGTACTAAAATGGTCTTGGCGCACACGTGAAGAGTCTCCTAATGAAGCATTGATACTTCGGAGTTTTAAAATAACGCACAAGTTTGTTGCCCTGGCTCTTGTCAAACACAACATACCGCCCATAATTCCTTTTTATTTTATTATGTATTTAAAATCAGTCGCACAGCTCACAATTGAAAATTTATATTAAAAAAATTAAAATTTTGAATAGTATAGGGTTAATAGTTGACATTTTAGTCGTAGTTCAAAAGAGAGAAATGTCAAAATCACTTCTACCTTGTTATGCCTTGCTTCTGTGTTTGCATAATGGCGTTTTCTGTTCTCGACATAATGTTAGCTTTTTTCCTCAGCCCTTTCACAGCTTTACGTGTTCAGTTCTCAAAATATTGCCCTCCGACTAAGCAAAAGTGCCATACTTTCTGCTAATATAGCCATTTTGCGGGATAAAAAGCAACCTACTGTAAATGTTCCAATATTTATAAGAAGGCAAAATTGTTTAATAGAAAAGAAAACGCCATAAGTTTTTAATTTATCTCTGGTTTTATATTTAAGTAATACAAACACGACTTCTAAAGCTTATGCCCGTATGATACTACGTTTTTTTCTTGTATTTCGAGTGTATTTTACGCTGTATTTTGAAAGAAAGAGAAGGTCACATACAATTTCAGTACTTGTGTAAGCGAGTAAGCTATATACCAAAAAACAAACGAAAAACAAACTAGGTTGTTAAAAACAGTCCGGCCAACTTGTATTTCGTTAGGTTTTTTTGACAGATGGCTGTATTTCGTTAGTTTTTTTACACAGCTGTTTGCATTTTGACATACGAGAGATTTTCTAAGCATACAATGGAAATACAAGTTTTATCTATTGCAACAAATTGTTTGCTAAACGCTGCTGCCTTAATACAGCGTAGGAAAAAGAAAAAGACTAAAAAAAAATATTCTGCGCAATGGCTTTTAAAAAGAGAACTGGAAGGTAAGTTTCGAATTCCACATTATAAACTGTTAAAGGAAATTGAGTGCGAGGATTCAATCCTTCACAAAAATATCTTAAGAATGACTCCAGCTCAGTTTGCATCCTTATTAGAAAAAGTACGCCCCTATATTAGCAAGCAGGATACAAAATTCAGGAACAGCATAGGAGCTGCGGAACGGCTGCAGCTGACATTGCGATATCTATCCACTGGTAAGATATAATATTTTCTTGGTAATTTTTAGTACCGACATACATATGTATGTACATATTTCCAAAATTAGGTGGGAGAGTGGGTGATGCTGGAATTTGGTTGAACTCGGACCTGAAATACGCGATTGAAAAAAATGAAGTACATATACCAGCCCCATGCACGCTCCCTTTCATGTCAACTCCTTCGCCTTTTGTGCTTTTAGCCGATGATGCCTTTTCTCTAAAAGACTACTTAATGAAACCTAACTCTCATCTAAGACTATCACCAAGCGAACTTAAATACAACAACATACTTTCGAGGAACAGGCGCGTTGTTGAAAATGCTTTTGGCATTCTTGCGAACCGATTTCGAGTTTTATTTTCACCCATCCATCGCGCTCCAGCTGCAGCCATTCAGATTGTATTATCTTACGTATGTGTGCACAACTTTTTAAGAACAGAAAATGTGAAAAAGAAAACTACGTTTGACGCCATTTCCGAAAGTGAAATAGATGCAATAATAGATAACAACTAAACCACAACCGCTTCTGAAAGAAATGCGTCAAAAAGGAGCGCTGAAGAAATAAGAAAAACTTTCGAAAACAATTTTTCTGCTGTAAATTAAAATATCGTTTCATTGTTTAAATAAACCAAAACTTTTGGTGTTGGAAATTTTCCATACTAGTAGAAGCAACAATTGGTTTATTTGGTGACTAAATAAATGAGTACAATGTCTTCAATTTATGTACATACCTACTAGCTAATACCTGCCTACTTAGCGGTGCACCGTGAGTAGTACAAAAACTGTTACATTTTTGATTCAATTAGAGCAACCAAATATTTTAATGAAAGTAATAATAAAGTAAAAAAGTGGTAAGAATAATCAAAATACATATTCACTCGGCAAAATAATAACTCTGCCTCCTTTCGTAAAGTTTGACTATTTTCCTTTTGTTTATTGAACTTTAATAATTTACTTATAAAAATACACCCCATTAATTAAAAATCTTTAAACTTGGCAATATGTGGTGCGTTTATAATTATGACACGGGATGTATAGTTAACTCTACAAACAAAACCATATCAATAAAACTTTTAAACTTTAAACGAAATTCAGGAAAACTCATCAAAATTTCGATTTTTTTCTTTTAAATATTAAAAAGAAAATTGCATGCCTGTGTAGATGTGTAATTTTTATGTAATAAATGGCAAATTTCAAGTGGCTTAAGATCACCGTTAATTTTGGGTATTGTTTTTTTTTAAGCTGAGGGCGCCGCAACAACCCATTTTGTTTTTGAAATACTTAAAAGGAAGTTCGAAATTGTTATGTAATTTTATGCATTTTCTTGAATTTTGTTTAAAGTTTAAAGCTTCTAGGGATATGTGTTTGGTTGTAGAGTTAACTCTAAAGTTTTATAAATAAGTTATTAAAATTCAATAACCTACGGAAAATGGTCAAAACATGACAAAAAGGGACACTCCTATTTTTGTCTATGAGTGTACATACATACATATAAATAGTCATTGTGTTACATAAGCCCATTCCGTTTCAATTGCTCACTTTGCAGATCCATCAAAATGTCACGCATTTGTTTCTTCGCTTTGAGTTGCAAGTCGGGGTCCAGTTTTACAATTTCTTCACCCATGTATATACCAAAACTGTTTGCCTTTTCGTGAGTGTTATTTGTTTTTGATGCAACATGAAAGGCATTTGTTAAATTTTGTGATGCTTCGATTAAAGCAGAGGCGTTTTCATCCAAATCATTATTAATTTTTGTTCTTCGTTTTCTTGTTGCATGAACCAACTTTCTAGTGCTATTGTTGTTATTGTCATCAAACCGACCACAGTTTTGCGAAGTAACCAGAGGTGGAGTTACAATCTCATCCGATATGATTTTAATTGGTGTTGCATCACTATTAGTGTCTTCTGTAGAGATGTTTTTAGTATCTTGGAGCGACTGGATACTGCTGTTACTTGTAATTGCAAGAGGGGTAATTGTAATGAACTCTGTGTTGTCTTCGATGAGTGAAAAGGATGACTCTGAGTCAAAGCCTGGATCGAAACATTCTGCAGGCTGCAGTTGCTCCCCAAGCTTACGCGATGGATTGGGATCAGGGTCCAGGTTCTACAAGAGAATGCAAATATTAAGCAAATTTTACGTAGCACGCGAATCGACGCTTTGCCCGGTTTCACACAATAAAAGTCGTACCTGCAAACTCCACTTATTAAAATTATTCACTGATGGTGTATGCTCATTCACATGTTGTAGGAATTTCAAAGCTTCATAGAACTTCCAGCTGGTCTGTACGTTTTCGTCTCCGCCGGCACCGCTTCTCTTTGCCTTGTCCATCCTCTGCTTCTCTGAACTGAAATATGACTTGATGTTGCACCACTTGTGCGTAACTTCATCTTTAAATAAATATATGTATTATACAAACATATAATATATCTTTTAGTTATTACATGTGAACTTGCTAAAAACTTACCGTAATGAAATGGTACATTTGCTGTGAACGTTGAGTTCATTTCATCCACCAAAGCGAGCCAAAACTGCTGCTTTTTATATTTGTGCTTATATGATGGTAGCATATGATTCCATATATATTCTGCACCGTGGACTTTGTCAATTAAATGGAATACGTAGTTGTCTTGCCACTTTAATTTCATTTTTATTGTTATAAAACTGTTTTACATCAATTTTAATTTCGTTTATTTGAATTTCGGTAATGAAACGTCAAAATTCAGCTGTTCTTCACACAGAATTTTTCTTTCTCTAACACATTGCCGAATAGTTTTTGTAATTTGACTTTCGTCAGTTTTTTTGTTTGTATTTCAAATGAAAAATACAGGAAAAAAACGTAGTATCATACGGGCATTAGCTACACTCTAAAAAAAATTTTGTAGACTTCCTACCTAAAAGGAACGTTACTGATTTCCTACCTTATTATTCGCGAAATTACATGCTCGATTATTCAACGAATAGTTCGTTTAAATTTCGGACTTTTTATAGTGTAATATAGCTGCTGTGGTGTGCGTAAATTTACTAAGAAAGTGTGTACAAGCTACAAAATACACATCTGCTGTTTGATTTCACCCTTACGCTACGCGCACACTGCAGCCGGCATTGACCGAATTGTGCTCGGCCGATATCGGCTATATGCGGGCGATATGAATAAACCCTTGTGATTATATGAGCGCTCTCACACATAAACCGATAACCGAACCGGCATCGGCCGTTGACGTCCGTCAGTGACGATAAATTCAAACATGTTTGTTTTTCTCGTCTGATGTAAGGTGAAAAGTATCAAAATCGACTGCGATAAATTAAGTTATTGGGTGCAAAACAAAAAAATTACCTATAAAATCACATGTTTAGAGTATGTCAATTAAAATTTATCAAAATATTTCACTGCTTACAAAATTTAAATCAAAACTAGATTTGTGCGTACAAATACGGTCGGCAAATAATCTGGTTAAGTGTGCGCATCAGTTCGGACGGTCAAATTGTTCGGCCGAAATCGGTCGGCCTATCGGATGCAATGTGCGCCTAGCGTTAGAATTGTGTAAAGCCACGAACAGAAAGGATTTTACACACGAAAATGTGTAAACGAGAAAAACGCATATTTATCGTGTAAATTTACCAAAAAATTAAAAAAATAAACAAAAATATACTCGATTTATAGTCGCATTTTTAAACAGATTTTTTAGAGTGTACGTATAACAACAGTTTCCTTTGTTAAACAAAAATAAAGTGGTGTACAGCTAAGTTACGTATAATCTTTATTAACAAAAAAAAAGGTGCAATGGATTTACTATTTAGTCTTTCTAATTGTAATTTATGTTTTTTAAAAAAATTTAGTTCTAGTTGAAGCATTTTAGCCGTTTTTTTTGTTCAATCTAGCCGGCCGCCCCGAAAAGTTCTGGAAACACTGCACCATATACAGCAAAAGGACGATGCTGCTGGCGTGTGGATATGATATTGACATCATTGGCCTGAAACCCACGGAGGTTAGCGCAGCATTTTGCAGCTTAGAAAAAAAGCTAACGAGATTGATCTAGCGGTGAACGAAGACAAGACACAGTACCACCTGTCAACACATAAAAAGTCGTCGGGTATTGGGACACACGTCACTGTTGGCAGTCAAAACTTTGATGTAGTGAAGAGTTTTGTTTACTTAGGATCCAGCATGTACACCACCATTAATGTCAGTCTTGAGATAAAGCGAAAAATAACTCTTGCCAACACGTGCTACTTTGGGCTCGGTAGGCACCTGAAATTCAGAACCCGCTTTCGATGAACAAAAATCTCGCTGCACAAATCTCTCCTTATGCCCGCCCTTTTATATGGCGCAGAAACATGGAAGATGACAAACATGAGACGTTTTTGGGGCGCTTTCGTTAGAACTGCTCTTCGCAAGATCTATGGCTCCGTTGGTGTGGGCCACGAGTACCGAAGAAGGTGGAATGACAAACTGTACGAGCTTTTGAACGACATGGACATGTTGTTCGCATGAATGACGACGCTCCGGTGAAAGTATCCTTCGACTCCGCACCCATGAGTGGACAAAGAAAGCAAGGCCGCGAACACAGTGGAAGGACCAAGTGCAGAAGGAATTGTCCGCACGTGGGATGAACAACTGGCGCAAATCCGCAATGGAGAGAGGCAACTGGCGAAGTTTTTTGGTATCGGCCCAAACTGACAAACGGTTGTAGTACCAAATAAGAAGAATAACCTCCCAAAATTTAACTGGAATCTATGCACTAGTTTTTGAGTTAAGTCAGAACAACGAGAAGGGCTATCATCTTATACATACAGATTTTCGTACTGTTCAAAAAAGGCGCAGAAGTTAATTGAAGTAAAATCAATAGGGGAAATTAAAAAAATAAAATTTGTTTCCTTAAAACTCTGAACAACAATATTCTGAAATAATTTTCCATCCGATTCGCTTCAATTTTTTTGTGGGTCTTATACATGAAGTAAGATAACACGTGTTCGAGGAATTTTTTTTTTTTCTTTTTTTTCTTCGGAGATATGATCTGCCAAAGTTCGCATTTTTTTCGTGATTCTGACTAATCATGTACTCCTTGAAACCTCGGGTTCTGCCCGTCGTAGAGACTTCGTCTTAACGCCATTTTAAAGCTAAAGAAACGGGCTTAATATTTCCGTATATAAGATGGTCAAGATTGTCCTAAAGCTAACTTAGCTATTAACAGTTGAACGTTTTGAAGTTTATTTGCTTAGTGAAGACCAGTAAATTAGGGATTTAAACTCATTAAATCGTAATCCTTGTTTAATTCCCATAAAAACCGTGGTTCAAAAAAATGGGGGTTTTTCAAGAACTATTTTTAAAATATATACTTTATGTCGAGATAGTTTATTTTGTGAGATTCAACAATTATTTGTATTTTTTTTCGAAAACTTATGTTAAGATATATTTGGTAAGGTGTGTGCAAAAAGTAAAATTTTATTGCGGATTCCGATAGAATACCTATCCAGATATAATATTTGTATGGCAAGATTTTTCTTTAAGGCGACAAACCCCTAGAAATGGGCGTGGAAATTGCAGGACCAAAATTAGCAAAACGCAGATTTTATTGCGGATTTCGGCAGAATATCGCTTCGTTAACAATATTTGTTCCACGTTTTGCAAGCTTTATTTATACAAATGCCACGCCCATTTTTAGGGGCTTGTCGCCTTAAAGAAAAAAATATTATACCTGGATAGGTGTTCTATCAGAATCTGCAATAAAATTTAAATTCTTGCAAAAACTCGATGTTTAACACTTGCTAAATATATCTCAACATAAGTTATGGAAAATAAATTCCAAAAAATGGTTTATTCGCACAAAATAAACTATCTCGTCATAAAGAAAAATATTTTAAAAATAGTTCTTGAAAACCCCCCATTTTTTAACCACGGTTTTTATATATGTATAAAGTTAGCGAAACAACATCGACCAAAAAATGTCGCATATATCCATGAATTTGTCGTTTTTTGCCGTTAATTAGTCGTGGAAAAAATAATTTTGTTGCTCTGGTATTTTTTTAGATATAAGGTGTTTTGCTAACTTTATATAAAGTTAGTGAATCACCCCACCAAACTCAAAGACAAACGACTAGGCTTTTATATCAAAATTTGCCGTTTTTTTGGCGTTCTAAGATGAGCTAGCTTACTTTCGAAAAAAATATTTTTTTTTTTAATGTTTAATGTTCAATAATTTTTAGAAGAAATTGGAAAAAAGAGCGTTTTACCGCACTAAAAGCACTAAATTTTTTTTATCAAAGGATACTCCTATTCATGTTTATGGTAAACAAAAATAAAAAAATAAACCATATTTACATGTATAAATTAATAAACATTCATGCTTGCGAAACTGGTACATCTGGAGAAGGAACAATGGAATCGCAACAAACGAAATTGAATTTTAAAAGGGAGAGTAATACTTCATGGTACCCTAAAGGCGTTGGCCCATTGCAGGCTTGCTTTGCACGCATTGCTGACTTTAATTTGCTTTGAGTTACTTCGAAAACTTGTTTGGCCGAATGGCGGCTTGTAACGCTGTCAAAGTAACCAGATGTCTGGTTGAAAAGTCAATGTCTGTTCCCTTAACACAAGTAATTATTTTCTTAGAAAACTGTAGAAAATGTATCAAAAACTTTCATATTTATTTTTAAGTTAATGCGAAATGATGTTTGCATTTAAAAGAAATGGTAATAATGATACATATATATGTATATCTACATTTACTAAAAAACAATAACTTAAAAGAGCGATTTACTTGAAGAAAAGAGCTATAAGAAATTTCTCCTCTCGTGTAAAATTTGTAAAAGTGGGCTTTTTGCAACTTTTTACTATAAGATAACGATAGTTATGTTAAATATAAATATGGAAACAACGAACAATTTATTTCGTTTCGAATTGCTTGCATGACTTTTTTTTAAATTAAGTAAGCAAATTTTTGTTTGAATTTATGTTTTTTGAACGGGAAAATACCTCTTTGTCAAAAGCCTACAAAACGCTTTCAAATGAAACGTTTGCCTATTTGAAACTTTGAGGCGCTTAAAGCAAGTGAAGAAAAGCTGCCATTTGTCAAAAGCCTACAAAACGCTTTCAAATGAAACGTTTGCCTATTTGAAACTTTGAGGCGCTTAAAGCAAGTGAAGAAAAGCTGCCATTTGGCCAGCCTTTATACGTTTTAGTATATTCCAAATAATTTTTGACAATTCTCGCAGCGAAGCAAGCAACGCAAGCCTGCATTGGGCCAGTACCTTAAGTAGAAATGAGCGAAAAAATTTGTTGTTTTATAATATAACCTAAAATATTGCGGAAAACCGTGTTTTTACACTTAGAGGCTAGGATATCTCAAAATTCTGACGTGGTAGAGAAATTCTGCAGCTCGATTTGGATTCAGCACCGAAAAATCTACACAAAACGGTTCCACTCAGGTGACAAAAAAAGTTAAAATTTTTCGAACTGTGTAATCAAACAATAATCAAGAAAAAAAAATACTTAACTTATCTGCGT